AATTAATTTATTTGGAATTGAAAACATTGCCTTTCTCTGCTGCTTTGCTGTTTTTTTTTGTTTGTTTGTTTGTTTTTTGTTTTTTTATGAATCAAGTATTTGTATATGCATGGGTCTGTTTCTGGCTCTTTATGCTGCTCCACTGGTCTTTGTTTATTCTTGTTTCATGAAAGCACCCTGCCTCAACTATTAAAGCTTTATAGTAAGTTTGTTGTTGATAGAACAAGACCCTCACCTTTTTGTTGTTGTTGTTGTTTGTTTTGTTTGTTTGTTTTGAGAGTATCTCAGCTATTTCCTGGCTCTTTGTAGTTCCACATGAATTTTAGAATCATTGTGTCAAGTTCTACAAAAACACCTATTGGAACCGTATAAAATCTATAAATCAATTTGGAAAGAACTGACATTTTTACAATATCCTTGTATTAGTCCATTTTCACACTGCTATAAAGATACTACCTGAGACTGGGTAATTTATGAACAAAAGAGGTTTAATTGACTCACAGTTCCACATGGCTGGAGACTCCTCAGGAAACTTACAATCATGGCAGAAGACGAAGGGGAAGCAAGGCACATCTTACATGGTGGCAGGAGAGAGAGAGCATGCAGGGGAAACTGCCACTTTTAAACTATCAGATATCATGAGAACTCTTTCACTATCACAAAAGCAGCATGGGGGAAACTGCTCCCATGATCCAATTACCTCCCACCAAGACCTTCCCTCGACAGTGGGAATTACAACTGGATATGAGATTTGGGTGGGACACAGAGCCAAACCACATCAATCATCTTTCAATTAATGAACATGGTTTGTATCTCCTATTAGATTGCCTCTATTTTCTCGAATGTCTTCTAGTTTTCTGAGTGGAGATCTTGCACATCTTTGATTACATTTCTTCCTAGAGATGTGACCTATTTTAGCCATGTTGCAGGTGCCATTTTTCTTTTTTTTTTTTTTTTTTTTTTTTTTTTTTGAGGCAGGGTCTAACTCTGTCACCCAGGCTGGAGTGCAGTGACACAATCATGACTTACTTCAGCCTCCACCTCCCAGGCTTAAGTAATCTTCCCACCTCAGCCTCCCGAGTAGCTGGAACCACAGGCATGTGTCACCACCACCCGGCTATTTTTTTTATTTTTGTAGAGATGAGGTCTCACTATGTTGCCCGGGCTGATATGTGGCATTTTTTACATCATTTTTAACTGTTACTGGTAAGCACTAACTTTTTAATTTCCTCTTTTAATTTAAATATTAAAAGTTTGTATCACGCATGGCCAGGCGCGGTGGCTCATGCCTGTAATCCCAGCACTTCGGGAGGTCGAGGCAGATGGATCACCTGAGGTTGGGAGTTCAAGACCAGCCTGGACAACATAGTGAAACCCCGTCTCTACTAAAAATACAAAAATTTCAAACGTGTCTTTTGCAAATATTTCCTTCCAGTCTGTGGTTTGTCTTCTCATTCTCTTGACATTGTCTTACTCAGAACAGATATTTTTAATTTTAATGAAATTCAGCTTATCAATTATTTCTCTGATGGATCATACCTTTGGTGTTGTATCTAAAATATCATTGCCATTGCCATACCCAAAGTTATTTAAGGTTTCTCCTGTCATCTTCTAGGAGTTTTATAGTTTTGCATTTTACATTTAGGTTTATGATCCATTTTGAGTTAATTTTTGTGAATGGTATAAGGTCTGTGTCTCAGGTAATTTTCCGGCATGTGGACGTCTAGTTGTTCCAACACCATTTGTTGAAAAGAACAATATTTGCTCCATTGTATTGCCTTTGCTTCTTTGTCAAAGACCAGTTGACCATATTTATGTGGGGCTATTTCTAGGCTCTTTATTCTGCTTCACTGATATATTCTCTCACCGATACTACACTATCTTGATTACTTTGGCTTTATAGTGAGCATTAAAGTTAGGTAGTGTCAGTCCTCCAACTCTATGTTCTTCTTCAATATCGTGTTGGTTATTCTTGGTCTTTTGCCTGTCCATATAAACTTTAGAATTAGTTTGTTGATATTCAGAAACTAACCGGCTAGGATTTTTATTGGAATTGCATTTAATCTATAGACCAATTTGGGAAGAGGTGACATCTTGATAATACTGAGTCTTCCTATCCATGGACATGGAAAAATCTCTACATTTATTTAGTTCTTTTTAGATTTCTTTCATTGGAATTTTTTAGTTTTCCTTATGTAGATCTTGTACATATTCTGTTAGATTTATATCTAAGTGTTTAACTTTGGGAGATGCTAATATATATGGTATCATGTTTTTTATTTAAAATTCCACTTGTTTATTGCTCATACATAGGAAAATAATTGATTTTTTATATATTAACATTGTATTCTGCAATCTTGCTGTAATAGCTTATTAGTTCCGGGATTTTTTTTTTTTTTTTTTTTTTGCTGATTCTTTCAGATTTTCTATGTAGATGATAGTGTCATCTGCAAACAAAGACAGTTTTAGTTCTTACTTCCCAATTTATATGCCATTTCATTCCTTGTCTTGAATACAGAAAGAATCAAGACTTAATATTTTATACTTGAGCCACATTCCTGTCTTAGGAATTCCAAAATGTGACCCTTCCCTTATTTTAACCTTGGCAGACAACTGGGATTGATGACAATATTTCATAATAGCTTAAGGTCTGTATCACACTAATCTCCATTCTCCAAATTCAGAATCCTTTTGATTATATTTATAAATTTACATATCTGCAGTTAAAACTGGTTCAGAACCAAATGATCAAGACTTTTACCAAGTTTTTTCTATCTCATACAATATGAATATTCAATGTATGTGGTAAATAAATATGATGAGTAAAAAGTATAATGTATAATGTTTTGTATATTTTAATACTTTCTTGACTTAACCCACTTTATATGATCAGTCATTTTATGTTTTGTCCCAATAATTCTCCTTGGACCATTCTGATTTTACAGTGATGTAGAATGTCCCTCTATAGCCTTATGGAATTTTAATCAAATAGCTTTTGCTCAGAACTTAAAAAGACATTTGTCCTTGGGACTAAAATTAGCCATGAAAAAGATTAAAAACAAAGCAAATTTAGAATATAATCAGTACTTTCAAAATGAGCTCAATCTGTACTTCATCTTCATTTATAACACTTGCTTCTTCTTAGCGTCTAATAGAATAAGCAATAGTTGTGCAAAGAATGTATTTACATTTCTGAGGTTCCAAAAACAGGTGAACCTCACAAGCCCATGCTCTTTTGTGTTTTGCAGTGTCACAGGCCGCCTTGGTTGGAATGATTCACATAATGATCACTCTCTGAATAGGAAAAAATTCAAAGTTCTATACATTTTCAACAGATGTTCTATACATTTTCAACAGATGTCCTATTCCTGCATTTTTTTCAGTTATTAAGTATAGTACCTTTTTTCCTACTCTGGTAAATGGATCTGTTTGGATACCACCTTTCTTTCAAACACTATTTTCAAAAAGGACCTCAGCAGTGCTTAAAGACTCCTGTTATGGTTTGAGTGTGTCACTTAAAAGTTCATATGTTAGAAATTTAATCCCCAATGCAATAGCTTTGGGAGGTAGGGCCTAATAAGAGGTGATTGGGTCATAAGTGTGGAACCTTCACAAATAGATTAATAATATGAGCAGGTTAGTTATCTCAAGAGGAGGCTGTTACAAAGCAAGTTCAGTTTCGGTATCTCTCTCTGTTGCAAGTGCTCTCTTCCACCTTTCACCCTCTGCGATAAGATGATCATCTTATTGCATCCTCACCAGATGCTGGTACCGTGTTCTTGGACTTCTCGTTCTCCAATAACCATGAGCCAAATAAACTTCTATCATTTATAATTTACCCAGTCTGTGGTATTGTGTTGTAGAAGCAGAAAATGACTAAGACAACTCCACTACCTGGCCAAGAGGAACCTCAAGTATCACAGAATTAGCAAAGGGATGTCCAAAGCTAATTAAGTGCCAATATACTTGAGAGATATTTTTAAAATGCAGAAATTATAGTTTGTTGGACTAAACCATGCAAGGCACCCAATTGGGAAGTCTTTCTGAGACATTTTAACTTTAAGCACTTGTTTTGATGATTTGGAAAGGCCTGGATGGAAATATAACTAATATTTATCAGGGTATTATGTGGGTTATTGCTGACATCTGAAGTTGAGGTTAATAATTCAACTGATTATCAAATAGGTTCCAAGAATTTGGATAAAATATTTACCAATTAATATATACAGAGAGATAGATTTAATAACAAGTCCTGATATTTTTCCACATCCCCACTTATACTTTCTCAAATGTACTTAGCTCCTGGCAGCTCCTTGATGGTGTTTGGGGCTAAATGGTTCTTTCTCCATGCACTGTGCTTTTCCATTCCCCACCTCACCTGCCTGTCAAACCAGCTTGGAGGAAACTTGTTTTACTGAGCTCTCTTCAGACATACAACACTCCCTCCCTCACCAGACACCCAAAAAATCTCCTTTCTTTGTGCTGATTAGTTATTTCTATAGTTGCAGTCACTTTATAAACTGAAATTAATTTTTTTGATTTTGGGCTTATCATAGGGCCTGGCTTACAGTAAACACTCAGAAAATGCAATAACCACAGGTAGGGAATAGGGAAGGATTTCGTCAATTTCTTCCTGCTCTGAAGGAACTTCTAAGCCCCTGAAAGCCAGAAACCAAACAAGAAACAAAGCGAAATTCTCAGGAGCACCTTTTTGCTGAAAAGAGAACTCCAAATACCCAAAATTTAGTCAAATATTCATATCCATATCCTTTCAGGAGTAGGCAGTTATATATAATTTTAGGAATACTAAATAGAGAATAGGATCATAATTTCAGCTGGTCACTGACATTTAGCTCTTCTTCCTGCTGACATTTACAAAAGAAAATACAGAGGGTTAAAGTCTATGAAGTCTTTCAGGGTCTACAATACATCTTTCTTCTAAGGGCACTCTTGTCTATTTATAGTGATATATCCAGGTGCAAATTACAAAGAAATCTTACTGTTTACACTCAGGCTGATGCTGTCCTGCTCTAAAAGAAAATTGGCTGCATGTGGACTTGTCCAGTTGTTTTTTCCGGTAACTGCCTATGTATGTTGTCATGGAAGAATCTGACCATCGTGTTTCATCCTGCCAAGATGCTCCAGCCTTGCGTCTGATCAGATCAAACTCTTGAGAAGTAAGAGGGCTAAAGGGCAGAAGAATTTGTGGAGTCAAGTAGAAGAAGTGTGACATAACTACGAATGGCCTGCTCTGGATGAAAACTTGTCAAGTCCTCTACATAATGAAGAATTAATTTCCTTCTAGCAGCAGGAAGCAATTGACTGGGCTCACCAAACTTTGTGACTCAACAGTTCACAGAATGCAGAAGCTTAACTGTCTTAGATATAGTTGCCAAGCAACGATCACAAAATTCCACAAATGCTACCCCCTTGTCTCCCGAGGGAGGCAAATTTTAACTAATAAATTTGTAAGTTATATAACTTTCTGGATTTTGCTCTAAGAAATATGTTGCTTCATAATTCTGGCAAGAAAGCAGGTGGCAAAATTATTTGTGTTTTACTGCTATCACAAATAAAGCAGTAATTCCTAATGATGGTGGTTCAAGAAGTGGAAATGAGATGAAAGAACAGTGCCAAGCATTCACTTCTCCTAAAGACCTCCAAGTGTCTGGAAGAGAACATGAACTGCCTGTAATGTCAACAATAGCAGGTGACTCAACAGCTTCTCATATGTCACAGAGTAGTGGTGCTCTGGCTGGCTGCACACTAGTCACCCTGGAAGCTGTTAAAATAAGCAGGACTCCAGGCCCCCACCACAGAGATTCTGATTTAGTTGATGTGGAGCAGGGCCCAGGCATCACTATTTGTTTAAAGCTTAATCCTGGAGGATTCTAAAGAGCAGCCAGGGTTAAGAATTAAGGTCATGGACGCAGAAAAAACTTTTGACAAAATCCAGCATCCCTTTAGGATTAAAACTTGAGGCAAAATTGGCAAGAAGGGACATACCTCAAAATATTAAAAGCCATCTATGAAAAACCCACAGCCAACATTATACTGAATGGGGAAAAGTTGAAGGCATTCCTCCTGAGAACTGGAAAAAGAAAAGGATGCCCACTTTCACTACTTCTATTCAACATAGTACTGGAAGGCCTAGCCAGAGCAATCAGACAAGAGAAAGAAATAAAGGACATCCAGATCAGTAAAGAGGAAGTCAAACAGTTGCTGTTCACCGATGACATGATCATATACCTAGAAAATCCTAAAGACTTATCCAAAAAGCTTCTAGATCTAATAAATGAATTCAGTAAAGTTTCAGGATACAAAATCAATGTACGCAAATCAGTAGCACTGTTATACACCAACAGCAACCAAGCTGAGAATCAAATCAAGAACTCAACCCTTTTTATAACAGTTGCAAAAATAAATAAATAAATAAATAAAATACTTAGGAATACACCTAACAAAGGAGACGGAAGATCTCTACAAGGAGGATGGGCATGGTGGCTCACGCCTGTTACTCAGCACTTTGGGAGGTCAAGGTAGGCAGATCACAAGGTCACGAGATTGAGACCATCCTGACTAACACGGTGAAACCCCATCTCTACTAAAAAGTACAAAAAATTAGCCAGGCGTGGTGGTGGGCACCTGTAGTCCCAGCTACTCAGGAGACTGAGGCAGGAGAATGGTGTGAACCTGGGAGGCGGAGCTTGCAGTTAGCTGAGATCGCGCCACTGCACTCCAGCCTGGGTGACAGAACGAGACTCCACGTCAAAAAAAGAAAAAAAAAGATCTCTCCAAGGAAAACTACAAAACACTGTTGAAAGACGTCATATATAACACAAACAAATGGAAAAACATCCCTTGCTCATGGATGGGTGGAATTAATATTGTGAAAATGACCATATTGACAAAAACAATCTATAAATTCAATGCAATTTCCATCAAAATGCCATCATCATTCTTCACAGAAGTAGAAAAACAATCCTAAAATTCATATGGAATAAAAAAAAATCTGTGTAACCAAAGCAAGACTAAGCAAAATGAACAAATCTGGAAGCATCACATTACCCATCTTAAAAGTATACTACAAGGCTATACTTACTAAAACAGCATGGTACTGGTATAAAAATAGCCACATAGACCAATTGAACAGAATAGAGAACCCAGAAATAAAGCCAAATACTTATAGCCAACTGATCTTCAACAAAGCAAACAAAAACATAAAGTGGGGAAAGGGCACCCTATTCAACAAATGGTGCAGGGATAATTGGCAAGCCACATGTAGAAGAATGAAACTAGATCTTTGTCTCTCACCTTATAAAAAAATCGACTCAAGATGGATCAAAGACTTAAATCTAAGACCTGAAACCATAACAATTCTAGAAGATAACATAGGAAAAACTCTTCTAGACATTGGCTTAGGCGTAGACTTCATGACCAAGAGCTCAAAAGCAAATGCAACAGAAACAAAGTTAAGCAGATGGGATCTAATGAAACTAAAAAGCTTCTGCACAGCAAAAGATATAATCAGCAGAGTAAACAGACAACCCACAGAGTGGGAGAAAATATTTGCAAACCATGCAAAGTTTGCAACAAAGTCCTTTGTTCTAGACAAAGGACTATCCAGAATCGAGAAGGAACTCAAACAAATCAGCAAGAAAAAAAAACAAATAATCCCAGCAAAAAGTAGACTGAGCATATGAATAAACAATTCTCAAAAGGAGACATACAAATGGTCAACAAACATATGAAAAAATGCTCAACATCACTAATTATCAGAGAAATGCAAATCAAAATGAGGTATCACCTTACTCCTGCAAGAATGGCCATAACTTAAAAATAAAAAAAAAATAGATGGTGGCATGGATGTGGTGAAAAAGGAACACTTTTATACTGCTGGTAGGAATGTAAACTAGTACAACCACTATGGAAAACAGTATGGAGATTCCTTAACTAAAAGTAGAACTACCATTTGATCCAGAAATCCCAGTATTGGGTATCTATCCAGAGGAAAAGAAGTCATTATATGAAAACGACACGTGCACACGCATGTTTATAGCAGCACAATTTGCAATTGCAAAAATATGGAACCAGTCTACATGGCCATTAACCAAAGAGTAGATAAAGAAAATGTGGTATATATAGATACCAGGGAATACTACCCAGCCATAAAAAATAACGAAGTAATGGCATTTACTGCAACCTGGATGGAGTTGGAGGACATTATTCTAAGTGAAGTAACTAAGGAATGGAAAACCAAACATCATATGTTCTCACTCATAAGTGGAAACTAACCTATGAGGACACAAAAACATAAGAATTATATAATGGACTTTGGGGACTCTGGGGCAATGGTGGGAGGCAGGTGAGGGATAAAAGATGATACATTGGGCACAGTGTATACTGCTCAGGTGATGAGTGCACCAAAATCTCGGAAATCACCACTAAAGAACTTATGCACGTAACCAAAAACCACCTGTTCCCCCAAAAGCTATTGAAATGCTTAAAAAGCACATTTCCTCTTTAAAAAGAGAGAGAGAGAGAGAGAGAGAATTAAGGTCATGGAAATGCCACCGTGAACTTTTTTACGTTGAGAAGTCATAGCATTTGATCTTCTATTCACTTGAATCCCTCCATCCTTCACTAATAATTACTGTAAATCTGATTATTATGTTTGCCCATCTTCACTTCTCCAGATTAAAAAGCAATTCATTGGCAAATCAAAATGAAATTACTCTCTCAACGTTTGTTCTTTTTTTTTTTTTTTTTCTTTTGAGCCAGAGTTTCGCTCTGTTGCCCAGGCTGGAGTGCAGTGGCGCAATCTTGCCTCACTGCAAGCTCCACCTCCCGGGTTCACACCACTCACCTGCCTCAGCCTCCCGAGTAGCTGGGACTACAGGCGCCCGCCGTCGCGCCGGGCTAATTTTTTGTATTTTTAGTAGAGACGGGGTTTCACCGTGTTAGTCAGGATGGTCTCGATCTCCTGACCTCGTGATCCGCCTGCCTTGGCCTCCCAAAGTGCTGGGATTACAGGTGTGAGCCACCGCGCACGGCTGTTTGTTCTTTTTTAAAATTAACTGTTGGTGCAGTAGTTCTCAACCCCCATTGCTCATTCAAGTAACCCTCGGTATTCTTTATAGACACAGATGCCATGTACATTCCCCGCTTCACTCCAATCAGAAGTGCCAATTAGCAACTCTGCAAGTGGAGCTATCATTAAGTGCTGAAAAAAAGAATTTCGATAGAGGATTTAATCAGCACCAATAGGGCCCATTAAACCGGCAGAACTCTCAGCTCTATCTTCAGAGACTGTAGGTCTGAGGTAAAGCCCCGGGATCTGCATTTTTATATTGTTACATGATTCTGCTGCAACTGGTCTTTGAATGCAGGTGACAGACACTGCTCCAGGGATTGAATTTAAAGTCTTTTAAAGTCAGGCTGACACACTATATGGTATGTTTCTCTGAGAATGAGATTATTTGCAAATACTTGTTAGTATGTTTCCTTATGGTTTCTTCCTTAAAATGTTGAAATTTGGAACATAAGCACATTTGCCCTAGAAAAAGAATTAGGCAGATGTTGGCAGGCTTAGCTGCTTTTTATCATGGAGTTGAAGACTTTTTGGAGAAATCCAGATTAGATAAAAAGATGACAGAAGCCAGGGGTGGTGGCACACACCTGTAGTCCCAGTTACTTAGGAGGCTGAGATGGGAGGATCACTTGAGCCTAAGAGTTTGAGTCCAGCCTGGGTAATAGAGTAAAACCCTATCTCTATTTTTTTAAAAAAGACTATGAAGATAAAGAGTGAAGGAGAGAAAGGAACACTGGGCTGTCCAGGTCTTTCTAACCCATTCGTTATCAGGTAGTGGCTGCTTGAGGAGAACTCTGCCAGCAGTATGTATTGTTTTGACACAGGAAAATAAATAGACAAAATTGTGAAGATTATTTGTAAAAAAAATTTTAAAATTTTCTTCTCAAAGTATGTGTTAGTCTATAAATGAATATGGAATAAAATAAGGTCTTTTAAAAATGCATTATAGTATCAGTGTGCTTTGTTATCAATTTCCTGCCTCTATTTTACTTTTCCCATAATCAGTTATGATATCATTTCAACAATTATAACCTCAAAAACCAAAAGTAGCCAAACTTAAGGGAAAATGTCCACTCTTGGGTTTAGATGGAATTATGACTTAGTTCAGCAGTCCACTAGATGTTGAACAAATCTGTTAAAAATAAATTGGACTGGCTGGTCGCGGTGGCTCACACCTGTAATCCTAGCACTTTGGGAGGCCGAGGTGGGCAGATTGCCTGAGTTCAGGAGTTTGTGACCAGCCTGGGCAACATGGTGAAACCATGTCTCTATTAAAATACAAAAAATTAGCTGGGCGTGGTGGCATGCACCTGTAATCCCAGCTACTCAGGAGGTTGAGGCAGGAGAATCGCTTGAACCCGGGAGGCGGAGGTTGCAGTGAGCCGAGATCGTGCCACAGCACTCCAGTCTGTGTGACAGAGTGAGACTCTGTCTCAAAAAATAAAATAAAAACAAAATAAAATAATAAATTGTACTTCAAATGAGAGAATAAGTGAACAGACTAATTGAATTTATTATCATAAGTGTTTAATCTATAATAATTATAGAGGACCTCATGATCATTCTTTGTTCTGACGTTTTATCAGATACTTTCCTTCTCACGGACACTGATTTGTATGGTCTGACTTCCAGGTTGGAAAATCTGCACTAAAAACTTCCCTTTTGTAACTGATTTATGGCAAGCTGTATTGTTTATTCATCAGTGTGTTAAGTATGACAAAAAAATTAAGAGCACTGTGACAACAGACTCTGGGTTGTGAGCATGATTTCGTGAAAATAGGAGCTTACTGAGTGACCTCATACCAAATAAAACTGGCAGGGGGTGTTCATTTCACCTGGTGCATGGGAGCCTTTGGTGACCGGACACTGACTAGGCTTCTCTCTGAACACAAGCTGATTATTCTAATGAGATGTCAATAGGT